GTAGGAGGATTTGATATTATAAACTGGGTCACGTTCCCAAACCAGTCCTTCCTCAGAGTTAGGGTTGGAACCATCGATCCAGAAGGACTCTCACATCAACTGCTGACCATTTCAGAGGATGCCATCATCTGGCCCACCTGGTTCAATCAGGTAGAATCGATCTCAGGTCAACATTGGCTCACCACTTTACCCAATGTTATAAGGATGTTCACATGAACCTAACACAATTGCATTAATTTCTGTTGAGTATTTTTGTCTTCAAATATTAAAAAACCTGACCAAGAGCTGAGCAAATCAGACACACGAGAATATGTATTTATTTAGTAGATTGTCAGGTGACTATTCTGGTAAAATATATATTCTATTTTGCCTTGTTTTGGTTTCATCATGGGAGTGTTGGGGAATTTGAGTCCTTCTAGGGATAAGACCAATATCCTAGTGATATATGGTGACACATTGGGTAGGTTAGGTGACAAATTGTGCAATAGGACCCAAACATCAGCTATGGTCACTCGTTTCAAAGCCCTGTTCCTTTTTTCTTTTTTAGTGATCAGAGGATATAGTACAGATTAAAAAGGGGAAGGATTTGATTGCTGGATGTGTGTGCCATTTGAAGCTGGCAACTATCACTGTAAATGATCCTGGAGCCTCATGTACTTGTATGCAACATTGCAGTGCAAGTATCAACCAAGAGCTTCTGCTGTGATGTCACAATATATGTTTCCTCATTCTGGATTCACTCTGCATCCAAACCCATTTCTTAATTTATTCACCAACATGCAAAGCAGATCATGTTATGCAATTGTGTTTTGCTGTTTTGTTGTTTTTTTAGTTTTTTCCCTTGAATACGTTTATGCAACTTATATTAAGTTCTACACAATGATCTCAAAAAGAATAATGGTAAATCATATTTGTGAGATTCTTTTCCAAATATTCTCAGTATTTTCTGAATATTTCTGGTAAATTTCTGTTAAATGGTGAATTTTCTTGTGGGGAGAATTTCAGTCCTTCCTTGAAAAAAGTTTGCTTTCCAGGACAAGCAACAATATGCCAATGTCAGTAAACCAGTAAGGAAAAGCAACCAAATTGGGATAAAAGGTATTAAGAGAAAAAATTCAGGGTGATTAAGTTTACTTGCATATTCCTGAGGGAAAGAATCTGATACCAATTGTTTTAATGTATTTAAGCATATTATTTTCTTGGTATTGGTCAGAGGTCTTCTTTCAAGTGTGTCTCTTTGGATTACTGAGCTTTGATTTTCTTCAGAACCAGAGGCAGCCATAGGATCCAGAGGTTAACACTGCAATAAAAAAACATGTGTCATCAAGTTCATAAATTAAGTGATCTAACAGGAGCACTGCCTGCAAGAGCTAAAACATCCAGCTGACATGTGGAGTAAGAAGTTGTCAGTCTTCCTCTTGGCCTGATTGTGTCACTTTTATGAGTCATGGGCCTGGAATTATTTATGATTCTGTGTGCTATTTCAGCTGAGGCAGGGAGGATGGGAAGACACTCTTCAAGAACACAATCTCAACATGTTGCAATGACAATCTGTGATTATGATTTCCAAATATATTAGCGTATTTTTATTTCCTTCATGGGCAGGTATCGCCTCTCTCCCTGTGTAATGACATCTGCCCTTCAGGTTACCGAAAGACCCCAAAAGAAGGAGAACCATTTTGCTGCTATGACTGCCTTCCATGTCCGCAAGGAAAGATCACAAATCAGACAGGTAAGAGACATTATGAAAGATATCAGAGGTCCTCCATCATTTAGACATCGCACTAATTTCCTAAACATGTATAACTTTTCACAACTGAGTACCCGATTCCTACAGGAAGCAGAGGAGTTTTGAGCCAAATGTTTTCTTTTTGAAATTCTTTCTCTCTCTTTTGTGATTTACTATCAGATGAAAGTTTGTGAAAAAGGTGAAATATTAAGGGAATATTGAACATGTCATGTATTAAGGCATATTTGAAGTCCTTCCAAGCTTTAGTTAAATTCAAACAATCTCATTATTAATCTATTTCTTACACTGTAGAATGGTTCATAAATATATTTGACATTTTTTTCTTTTTTAAAAAAATAAATTCAACAAAATTAAATAGTGCATCATGGTCATTTTTTTCATCCAAGCAGAAAGCTAAATGAGGAGACATTAGCATTACTATTATTACTATTATTATTACTATTTCTATTATTATTATTTACATTTTGCACCCCTCCCCCCACTTGCTGCCTCCCAAGGACTCATTTGCTTTAACATACCTTTCCAATATATGCCTTTCATATTATAATTCTCAGATTGGTGGCCTCTCAACTATCTCTTGACTACTATTTATATTTGCTTTTCCAGACATGGACAAATGCTTCCAGTGCCCAGAAGATCACTATCCAAACAATAACCAAGATTTCTGCCTTCTCAAGTACATGACATACCTCTCTTATGAAGACACATTAGGAAGCAGCTTGATGACAGTAGCCATTACCCTTTCTTTCACCACAGTTTCTGTACTAGGAATCTTCCTGAAGTACCACAACACTCCCATTGTCAAGGCCAACAACCCCGACCTCTCCTACACCCTCCTCATCTCCCTCCTCCTCTCCTTCCTTTGTTCTCTGCTTTTCATTGGTCGACCCATGAAGATGACTTGTCTCCTTCGACAGACTGCTTTTGGCATCATCTTCTCACTGGCTGTTTCTTGTATCTTGGCCAAAACTATCACGGTGATCTTGGCTTTCATGGCCACCAAGCCAGGATCAAGGATGAGAACATGGGTGGGGAAAAGACTGGCCTTTTCCATAGTTCTTTCCTGTTCCTTTATGCAAACTCTTCTTTGTTCTGTGTGGCTTGGAATCTCACCCCCTTTCCCAGACTTTGACATGCACTCCTTTATCTCTGAAATCGTTGTGGAATGCAATGAAGGGTCAGTTGTCATGTTTTATAGTGTCTTGTCTTTTATGGGCTTCCTGGCTGTTGTCAGGTTTATTGCAGCTTTCCTAGCTAGGAA